ATAAATAAATAAAACAGATATGATTTTTTCTTACTTTCTAATAATTATAATAAGTAACACCAAATGAAAAACATAGTATCAAAGAAGTCTGTAAAAAACATGATTTGCTGACCATATTAAGTTGTTTAATTAGCATAGGAGTGGTTATCATGAGCTTTTAAAACTTTTAAAGATAGATTGTCCTCTTATGAAGTTTAAATATTCCCCTAGTCTTGTTTACATTATTAACTTGCTTCTTTTTCCTGAAGAAAAGTTTTCCTAATCAAATATTATTTTAAACCTGAATCCCCGCCGAAGGCTCACAAACTGTGAATTAATGGAAATAAAACAAATGTTACATACTGTATTAGATTAATAAAATGTTGATTCAAGTTATTTTTCATTGACCCTGAGTGGGAAGGAAGTAGATTCAAGGTTATTTATATTGAATACTGTATCAACTATTTTGACATTTGTTGTTATTATTGTTACTACTCTTATTGCTTTTGGGGTAGAGTTTGTTCTTTATTTTTTTTCAAAATTGACCAATAAATCTATTCCCTCGGTAGTTGACTACTGTGGGCCAGACTGGGGCAATGAGGTTTAACGACCAAATTGGTTGCTTCTGTCAGCTTGGCCAGTAGTCTTTTTGGCACAGGGGACCAGTTTCATGGAAGACAAGTTTTCCAGGGACCAGAGGGTGGGAGATAGTTTTGGGATGATTCAAGCACATTACATTTATTGTGTAGTTTATCTCTATTTTTATTACATCAGCTCCACCTTAGATCATCATGCTTTAGATCCTGAAGGTTGGGGAGCCCTGCAGTAGAACTTAATGTAGATTCTCCTTCTGAAACATGTCTTCAGGAGATTTTTGCATGTGAAATTTGCCCACACATTTTCACTTAAGTGCCCCAAGAAGGAAGTTATTATGAAGCCTATTCAATCAGAGGAATTTTGTTACATGATATAAATAGACAAAGGAGTGCTAATCAGTGCTGCCGCCTTGCTTTGAAGGGAATCTTTTTTAAAATTCTAACAACCAGCTACAATTTAAAATGAGTCGATCAGATTGTCAAAGGTTTATTTTTTTAATTGATAAAAATTAATTTTGGCAAGAATATGAGGAAAATACAGCCTCCACACCATTGTTAGAGATGAAAATTGGTATAATCTTTCTGACAGGCAGACTGGTAGTATGTTGAAAAAGAAAAATTAATGTATGTCCTTTGACAGAAGTAGCCCATATCTGGATATTTCACCTAAGGAATAATCACTCAGCTAGGGAGAGAAGTTTGTATAAAGATGCTCAGTGCAGTTTTGTTTATAAGGGGAAAATCTGAAACAACCAAATGTCTAAAAATGGGTAATAATGGACCCAGCAAAATAAAATTTGATATGAAGATACAAAGAGATTGTGGTGCCATTAAAAATTGTTTAGTAGATTCAAATTTATTGCCATAGAAAGAGGCTTATAAATATTATTGAGCTAATGAAAGTAAATTATATAAAAATACAGTCAGATTTATGGAGCATTGTGCATGATGACTGCCCTGATGCCTCAGTGTAAAGAATCCTCCTGCCAATGAAGGAGACACGGGTTCAATTCCTGGGTCAGGAAGATCCCCTGGAGAAGGGCATGGCAACCCACTCCAGTATTCTTGCCTGAAGAATCCCATGGACAGAGGAGTCTGGCAGGCTACAGTCAATACGGTCGCAAAAGAATCAGACACAACTGAGTGACTGAACACACACACAAATATGGATGCTTGATAATTTCCTAAAACTAAAAAGATGGAGAGTTGCTGTGAAAGCAAGGCTAAAGGAAGAAAATATTTGGGAAATATCTTATTCTACTCTATTTTTTAAATTTTCATTTTTAATTGAAGGACAATAGCTTTATAGTGTTGTGTGAGTTTCTTCCATACAAGAGTGTGAATCAGCTCTAAGTATATATATATATATATATATATATATATATATATATATCCCCTCCCTCTGAAACCTCCCTCCCACCCCTTCCATCTACCCATCTAGGTCATCACAGAGCACTGAACTGAGCGCCCTGTTATTCAGCAGCTTCCCACTAGTACCTCTTTTACACATGGTAGTGTATATATGCCAATACTTCTCTTTCAATTTGTCCCACCCTCTCCTTCTGCCACTGTGTCTACAAGTCTCTTCTGTATGTCTATTCCAGTCCTGCAAATAAGTTCATCAATACCATTTTTTCTAGATTCCATATATATGCATTAATATATTACTTTGATATTTGTTTTTCTTTCTTGTAGTTTAATTCAGTTTTTTTAAATTCTGAAAGTAACATGTTCTTGGTAAAAAAATTAATACAAATGTCAAATGTCTGTATAATGAAGTGAACAAGCTATGTGTACATGTATATGTTAATACACTTGACAGATTCTTACATATACAAACATATTTTTTGTTTCTTTAGCTTACTTTTTTTTTGTCTCACATTCAGAAGTCCTAACTCCAGCTAATAACAGCTGAATTCATCACACACATTTCTGAACCAATCCCACTGTTTGAAAATGGGGAAAGAAGTGGACCCCAGAGACAAAATGGGGTATAACCACTAAGAAGAGGCTGAATGGATCCTAGTCAGCAAATGTCCTCTCTAGAGTGAAATACATTTGGGATGGGGACCCAAGAAGGGAAGGACCTATGCATTTAACCTTGATATGTGGTTATTAAAGCTATGACAAACCTAGACAGTGCATTAAAAAGTAGAGACATCACTTTGCCAACAAAGGTCCATATAGTCAAAGCTATGGTTTCTCCAGTAGTAATGTTTGGATGTGAGAGTTGGACCATAAAGAAGGCTGAGAATCAAAGAACTGATGCTTTTGAATTATGGTGCTAGAGAAGACTCTTGAGAGCCCCTTGGACAGAAGGATATCAAACTAGCCAATCCTAAAGGAAAACAACACTGAATATTCATTGGAAGGACAGTTGCTGAAGCTGAAGCTCCAATACTTTGGTCACCTGATGCAAAGAGCCTACTAACCAGAAAAGACTGATGCTGGGAAAGATTAATGGCAGGAGGAGAAAGTGGTGACAGAGGATGAGATGGTTGGATAGCATCACCAACTCAGTGGACATGAGTTTGAGCAAACTCAGGGAGATAGTGAAGGACAGGGAAACCTGGTGTGCTGCAGTTCATGGGATCACAAAGAGTTGTACACAACTTAACAACTGATTAACAACAGCAATGTGATTATTAATGTCAAAAACTGGGTAGTCTCTTTGGACTGAATATCTTCCCCTGTCTTCCCCCCAACAAATTCATTTGTTTAAGCCCTAATCCTCAGTGTGATGGTACTTGGAGGTGGGCCTTTGGGAGGTAATTAGGTCATGAGGGTGGAGTGCTCATAAATGGGATTAGCACCTTCAGAAGGAGAAACAGTAGAAGGAAGTTCTCTCTTTCTCTCTGCCATGTGAGGACACAGCAAGTAGGTTGCTCTTTGCAAGCCAGGAAGAGAGTCTTCATCAGAACCAAATTGCCCGGCACTTGGATCTTAGAATTCCCAGCCTCCAGAACTATGAGAAATGAATTTCTGTTGTTCAAGTCACCCAGTCCATAGTATTTTGTTATAGCAGCCTGACATGTTATGGCACATAGGCAGCAGCCAAATCTCACTTTTTGAAAAAGTAAAGATATAATGAAATAGAAAAGTGTCCCCCATCTCCTGTATTTTCCCTCATATTTTCACATTGTCTCTGGCTAGTTGGGTTACAGTGTTTGTTTGGATGGGCTGGCCTAGAATGTAAAGTGAGTGCTCAGGATAATTGATGATCGCTACCGCTGCAGAAAGACCGTCCTATACTGAAAGAACTATGTCTTTTTAATCCATTCTTTCTATTACTGGTTTTAAATAATGTGTCTGACAAGATTCTGCTTTCTTTCTGTCAACTGTCAGTGAACAGGTATTGGGCATTATTTGTGGGGCTGTAAATACTTTACATGAAAAAATAATGAGTCCTTAAAAAGTCAAGAGAAATGCCTCCAGAGATGTTTACCTCACATGATGATTTATGTAGGTCTGAGAAGGAAGTTTCAGAAACTTCCCAATGAAAAGTCTGGAACATAAACTAATGTCTCTTCCAAATCTGCCTTTGCTGTAGCCCCTGGACACATTTCCCTTTCACTTCTAATCTGGAAGTTGGAGAATGTTTTTCATGTTCAACTTAAATTGTTTAGTTAATGGTCTAAGAATAACTCTTGGGAGCATCCCTCAGCATAACTTGTTATTACTCTATCCCTCTGACTGAATTTGATGTATCTATTGTGTTCTTGCTGAATAAACTGATCCCTGGGATTTATCATTTTCTTTTTACCAGCTAGAAATTGTAGACATTTAATGGATATACCTACATCAGTCAATTTAATGAGTCTCATTGTATGAAGTTTGAAATATACTGATCATTCTGATGCTGAAATATAGTTGACATTCATCCTTACCACAATTTCTAAGTTTTCCAAGTTTGTCTCTCCTGCCTCCCTGAGGAAGATAATTTAACTGAAGCTTTTTTTTTTTTTTTTTTTTTAATTTAGTTCTTCCAGGGTCTGAGAACTCAAGTGCACCTTCTGGGTGATGTACAGAAGGGGCTAAAACATTCTTGCATGGTTCACTACAGTGCACATTAACCAAATCATAGTTTCAGTTTCTGTAAGAGGGACTGTTCTGTCATTCTGGTAGGAATTGTGCCATTGAAGATCATGCTGGTAAATCTCACCCTGGGATATCACTGGCAGCCTTGCAGTTGGAAAGGAGGTTGAGATGTTGACATGGATGTGGCATCTGTCCCTGGGCAGAGAGCCAGGGTAGAGTCAGCTGGCCTGACAAGTATAGGCAGGTCCCCTGTGCCTCTCCAGCGGCTGAGCCTAAGGATGGCCTTCCCAGATACAGGAGGACCATCTAGTCACCAAACACAGCCACATGAAATTAAATGGACTCAAAGCTGAGTCATAATTCATGGCTTTTGTTCTCTGTTTCCAGTTGTTTGAATTTATGAATTTCTTGGCTGAGAACGTTATCTTCTGTTACATGGGCCTGGCACTGTTCACGTTCCAGAATCATATCTTCAATGCTCTTTTCATACTTGGAGCCTTTGTATCCTTTGAAATACAGAACACAAGGTGATGAGAGAAGAAAACAAACTACTTAACTTTAGGAGTTATTCTTTTAAATTGTTCATTTTCCTCAGATTTACTGCAAAGTTCAAATTCAAAGCATGTGAGTAATTTGAGTTAGGGGAGAAAAGCATCCTAAGCAATATTTGGGGCCTTTATTAAATGTCTATGGTTCAAGACATAAAGTTTGGAAATTGCTGAGGGAAATAAAGGGAAAAAGCTGAAAAAAAAAGACATTTTTTGAATATTCAAAATATGTTTAACTAAAATTATGAAAATTATGTCAATCCATTTTTTATGTTTAATCTGCATTAGAACGTATCAGAAGACAGCCAGGCCTTAGAACTTTAGAAATACTTTCACTGCAAGATGGTAAAATCTTTTCTCCAGTGAGACTTTGTAAAAAGGATAGACAGAGTAAAGATCAAGTCAAATTACCATGATGGATGTGCTTTCACTATCTTAAGCATTGTGCACATGTAAGTTTAATAAGACAGCCTCTTTCCTGTACATAAAAGAACAGGTAAAGTCTAGACCTCACTTTTAATGCAGGGGGCTTTTCTTGCTCTAGGTCTGGGGTCTAAGCATTCCCAGAGGGAATGGATATCTATCAGAAAAGCTACTGAGCCACTGTGGATATTCCCAGGGATAGTCAGCAGCTGTTATCGTTGTTCCTGGTTGGAAAATGGACAGATGCCCTCTGGGACCACAAGTAGATGATCCTAACAGCCAAGAGAGCCAACTCCTCTCTGGAAGCCCTGGTCCAGTGAGGCACCAGCCCTGGCCTCTTGTTCTCTTTTCACTGAGCGGAGAAGTGAATTTTCAAATTCCATCCAAATGTTAGAAGGATGCTCCCTCTTTCCCAAATAACTCCTCCCATTTGAGGACAAACTAGCATAGACAATCAAGGAAGATGTCCAAGATGTCAAAAGGGGAGAGATGACTACCACCAGTATTTTCATAGATTTTTTAACCTGTATAGCTTGGATTTTAGTGAAATACCTCTTAAAGCAGAAGTTGTTTTATACATTTAGACAGGCAATTCCTCTCGAAATTAAATTCACTAAAAGAAAAAAAAATAAGTGAAGCTTGCTAGATTTAGAGAGTATAAACTGATGGAAAGTAAGATGATTATCGTGAGCCAAAGCACATTTATCCTTTCTCAAGTGCTGCTTGAGAGGATAATGGCACAGCCTTGGAACGGTCTCTGCCTCACATTTTGCAGCGGAATTGAGCGTAGAGTCAGTTATCAGCCACATAAATGTGATGAGAAAATTTACGGTGATTGAAGTGGTATTGGGTTAACAATTTTAAACCGAGTATATGTTCAAAGAAGACAGAGTCCTCTATTATTTCTGGAAAGCAAATGACATTGAAAGATGAATTTTGGAAGCAGTTTGGACATACATGTATCAACATGTTTATTCCTGTTTTCTGGGTCATAATATAGAGAAGCTTAAGGACGTAATATTTAAAGCCCAAGGAGTATCACATTTATTGCAGCAACATTTTCCTCAATGTTTCCCTGCGCTTATCCACAGGTAGCAATTTTTGTGGCCAGAGCCTGCAACATATATCCCCTCTCCTTCCTCCTGAATCTAGGCCGGAAACACAAGATCCCCTGGAACTTTCAGCACATGATGATGTTTTCAGGTATGTGAATTTTGTTGTGTGTTCGTGCAACTCTTCTCTCATACTTTTTCCTTGTACTTGGAAAACCATGTACATGTATTATACTTCTTGAGACTTCTTGGGGAAGCATAACTTCTCTTTATCCCATTGTACCTACTTTCATTCTGCTATCCATACATTCTGTGCAACAGTGGCATTTCTTTCCAGAAAGAAAATGAAATTAAAGAGAATCCTGTTAAGATGGCCACGAGTTTCAATATCTTCCAGAAACTGGCCAGAATCTGGCCTAGAATAGCCACTGAACTATTCCCTGACCTGTGCTTAGTCTCTCAGTTGTGTCCGACTCTTTGGGACCACATAGACCACAGCCCACCAGGCTCCTCTATCCATGGGGATTCTCCAAGCAAGAATACTGGAGTGGGTTGCCATGCCCTCCTCCAGGGAATCTTCCCAACCCAGGGATTAAACCCAGCTCCCCCTCATTGCAGGCGGATTCCTTAACTGAGCCACCAAGGAAGCCCTTTTCTGACCTATTTCAGATCAATTTTCAGTTGGAGGAATTTACATAATTGTTTCACAAAATGCAGACTTACAGATAAATAGTTGCAAGTGGTGCCATTTCTGTCCGATGTTATGACTCCTTCTCCTTAGAAGCCTTGCTCCTTCCCTAGGCAAAGCTCCAGGAAGTTTTCATGGTTAATACAGAAGTAAATCACATCTAAGTATGATCAGTTATTCGTTGAGAAAAGTGTTAACTGCATTTCCACCAAATACCAAGAGCCGTCCTACACACAGGTGTATGAAACCAACAGTCTCTACTATCAAACCATACCTGAAGGCCCCTTTTTCCCAAAGAAAACAAACAAAATGAATTTGCTGACCCTGAACTGCTCTGGTGACTGTGTTTCTTTATGTTCAATTAATTTTCGTACCATCAGCCTTTTCTTATTTGGAGACTTTTCCCCTTACATGACTTCTATGTACTTGTACACTTATATTACAGTCAGAGGCAGTTCACTGGAAGATACATGAGAGTAAAACAAAGCTTCACATTAGAGCAAACAAAATTCGGGGTATACAGGAGGATATGGAAAAAGTGAGAAAAACTATCATTTACTGAATATCTGCTATTTGCCTCTCATTATAAATCAATCCTAGTGAAGTGAAAGTTTAAGTCGCTCAATTGTGTCCGACTCTTTGCAACCTTGTGGACTATACAGTCCATGGAATTCTCCAGGCCAGAATACTGGAGTGGGTAGCCTTTACCTTCTCCAGGGTATTTTCTCAACCCAGGGATTGAACCCAGGTCGTCCGCATTGCAGACAGATTCTTTACCAGCTGAACCACAAGGGAAGCCCAAATTAATCCTATGAAGCAGATATTAATCCATTTTCTAGATGGAAAAAAATGAGGTTCAGAATCTCAAAAAGGTTAAGTAACTTGTCTGAGGATGAAATTATTCCTAAGCCAAGATCTGTGAAACTTCTCCTCAAACCCCAACAAATCAACAGTTTTAGAAGTAGGAATAAGGACTTCTCCAGTGGCTCGGCAGTAAAGAAATCTGCTTGCAATTCAGGAGCCACAGGTTCAATCTGTGGGTCAGGAAGATCTCCTAGAAAAGGAAGTGGCAACTTGCTCCAGTATTCTTGCCTGGAAAATCCTATGGACAGAGGAGCTTGGTGGGCTACGGTCCATGGGGTTAAAAAGAGTCAAACACAACTTAGTGACTGAACAACAACAACTAGGAATAAAAGTCTTGTTTCACCTTCACTTCCCTCCTAGCCTGTTCCACACAGTAACGGGTAGCAGCTCCCAGGTTGACAATGAGTCATTTAATCAAGTGCAGGCAAATGGAGATCCAGAGTTTTAAAATGTCCTCCTGTAGGCCTCTGACAGTGCTTCCCTACATTTCCAGATATGCTGGTGTGGCCTGCCCGAGAGAGAGAGAGTCATAATGTAAGTTGTACCAATAGGTGATCTTTAATTTAAAGCAGTGGTGAACTTTGGTAATGATTAACTCTTATAATGGGACAGCAAAACACAGATTGGATCACATAAAGAAGTTGGCACTGAGGTGCATTTTTGTAAAGCATTTTGAGGAGTTGGGAAGCACTGTTCCTTCTTTTCCATCAACATATCAGTAGCTTCACTCTGGAGAATTGCGGTTTATTTTTCAAACTGGGATATTATATTTTAAACAATGCTTTATTTTACAAAGAAGATTTTGAGAAAAGTGCAAGGTTTAAATAGCTATCTTGGGATATGAAATGTCTGCCCGAATAACCTCGTGGCTTGCTGGTTTTCTGGATTTGGCATCTTCTGTGTTTGCTTAGCTGTCAAATTGGAGCTGCATTAAAATCTGAGGCCAGCAGTATGGTATGTACAGCCAGAGGATGTAAGGAAGCCCAGAACTTGATGATACCTTTATGATATTCTAAAGTGGGGAGTCAGCGAACTAGGGCCTTTGAACCAAATCTAGCTCACATGAATTTTGTAAATGAAGCTGGAACATAGCTCTACTTCTCTTTTTAATACTGCCTGTGCTGCCTTTATGCTGTGCATGCTGTGCAAAGTCACTTCAGTCGTGTTGGACTCTGCGACCCCATGGGCTGTAGTCCACCGGACTCCTCTGTCCATAGGACTCTCCAGGCAAGAATACTGGAGTGGGTTGCCATGCCCTCCTCCAGGGAATCTTCCTGACACAGAGATCCAACCCACATCTTTTATGTCTCCTGCATTTGCAGGCAGGTCCTTTACCACTAGCACCACCAGGGAAGCCCCATCTTTATGCTACAAGGGCAGAATTGAATGTTGCAGTAGAAACTATATGATTTACAAAACCTAAAACATTTACAACCTGGCCTTATTTTAAAACACCTTCATCCTATAGAAAGAAAACTATAACTCCATTACATTAATGGGATTGGCACTAATAGTTTAATTAGGGGAATACCCATCTGCCTGTTCCTATTATTAAGAACATTGACTTTTCCACTAAAAAGCTGTCTTCTTAGCTTTAAAAGGAGGAAATTGCTATGTTACATGGTTATGTAATTGAATCATAGATGGTCAACTCTAAAATCATTCTGTACCTTTCTAAGACATTTTGTGGGTGTTTTGAGACTCATCTCCAGGGAAAGATAGGCTAGGCATTATTGGTCTCTTTCTGTGGATTAAAAAATAGAAGGAAAGAAAGACATGGAGAACTTTGGAGTATCTTGCTCACAACCTGACAACTAGTTAAGAGATGAAATTGAGACTTAAACCTGGGCCTCTGGACTTTGAGTTTATATCCTTCACATCTGCCTTGACAGGACTTCAGATTTACCCTCAAGGTCATGAGAACAGAAGTTAAATCAAAGCCGTGCCCTTCCTAGCCCAGGCAAACTCCAGCATCCAGTTCACAGTAAGCCACACATGTGGGCGACACCCTTCCCCCAGTCATAGTCTCAGTTCTATATTGCACCCACTGATCCCCATCAGAATGTAGGAAGGGTCAAGGGAGCTCATCATGTGGAGGGTAATAGTTTTCTTCAAAAGAGAATGCTCCAGACTAGGCTTTGATCTTCTGCATGAATCCTGATATTCCATACCTCATATTCCACACCTCACTCAGGACCTAAAGTTTTCAATGTATTTGCCGGTAAATAAAAAATTTAAAAAGTAAACTTAAGGTAATGTAAGCCAGAGGAGGAGGTTAAAAAGCAGATCAAATAACACACAGTCTAGCTTTTTCTTGGTATGTGATCACCACAGCTGCTGAAATCAGAAAAAACAACTGACCCCCTAAAAGGATATTTGCATTATAATGTAGTTTAATGTTCTTAATTATGTCCAGAGGGGTTTTGATCATCCAGTGAGATGGAAACTTTGAAGCTCATGGGTGGGACCTAGTTGTCCTTGCCTCACATGAAATGAAGATGGAGCTTCTATTTACACAGCTCAAAACATTTTTCAGAGTCCTTAGAAGAAAGTAAATGACAATGATGCTCTATCTAAAATGGGTGAAAGTGAAAGTGAAGTCACTCAGTTGTGTCCGACTGTTTGCAGCCCCATGGACCGTAGTCTACCAGGTTCCTCCATCCATGGGATTCTCCAGGCAAGAATACTGGAGTGGGTTGCCATTTCTTTCTCCAGGGGATCTCCCCAACCCAGGGAGTGTGAATTTATTTACACAGTCCCTCTGTCATCACCCAGCTATGCATTCCACAGACGTTTCCTTACAGGCTCCCTAAGGTAAGTGTTTGAATGAATGGTGACCAAGCTGCGCACCCTGCCCTTAAGGCGGCTTGCAGTTTCAGAGAGAGAACTTGACTTTGGGCCAAGGTTCACTAAGCCCTTGCAGCACAGATGGTTCAAAGGCCAATCAAATAAGAGCCAGAATTTCTGTCTTAGTCAATTACACCTACTATGTGACAAAGCCTTTTCCTCCATCATCTTTACTCTCCCCTTGTACGTGACTTTTTGGCACTGGGCAGGAAGAAGGCTGGTGATGCTTTAGAAGTAGAAGTGGATTCACTTGTAAAGTTAAAGAAGCTTCCGTTTGAAGCTCCTCTGGTCCCTGTTCCAAGACCCTGGGATGAGCCCTAGCAATGTGTTCTGATGGTACATAAAATCTGTTAAAGATATTTCTGTCTCATTTTTCTTAAAGAGGGTCTCAAATGTACAAGTTTCAGGCCCCATAAACCTGAATCAGCTCCTATCTCCATTCTGGAGACACCTGAAGATAAGAGTTTGCAGAGGGATCCCGGGCTCATTACTTACCTCCTGGTGGGGAGCACACAGGGCCTGCAGTGAGCACTGAAGTAAGGCATGGAGCTTCGTAGATGGTGGGGGCTCAGCAATGTTTTGGGGGAAACCTCACATTGTTCCTGGATGATGACCGTACTGCCACTCCACCACCGTCTGCCCTCTCCCCTCAATCCTCCACCTTTGGCTTCTAGAGCCAGTTAAAGTGAGCAAAACCACTGTCAGCGCCCAGGCTGAATTTCTCACCTAGCACAGGCCCTGTGCTAAGTCGC